ACTTTATGTAAAAAAACTTCCAATTTCGTAAGTGACACGAAAAATCTCAGGGGGGGCAATGGCCCCCACTGGCCCCTCCCTCCGGGCGTCCCTGCAATTGCRATAATTCATTGTGCATAATATTATAATTACATATTGCATTAAATGCATAGTGCATATTGCATACCCGTTTAGAAATAAGTTTATTGATCTATTCTAAAGTATACATTCACTAATAAAGTCTTTATATGTTATTGTTTTGACTTATGAGTAATCACTTGGCTCAAAATGATTAAATTCARGAGTCTATTTTAAATTTGCATTGGTATTAGTAATTAGGAACTTAGGGGGAGTAATGCTAACTTAGTTGTGATACTTAATTGCCATTAAAATTTACTTCCATAAAAATGTAAACAATCATTTGTTTCTATGGTGATATACACACTATGACTACCTACACATTATACACAACAGTTGCAATAAACCAACAATTATTGAATGAAGTAATATGGTTATAACGTAGATAATATTGTTGTTATTATTTGAATAGTAATATTAAAATAGAAAAAAAAGCACAAACAATACATTTTAAAAAGTATTACAAATTAAATATTTTTCGTGGAAACAATACTTACATTTGATACATAGACATAAATAAATGTCTATGATTTGAAATTATAAATTAAGTATATTAAATAATGGATAAAGATCCAATGATTGAACTCACAGAATTTCATAATAATCTGTATGGCCCTATATCAGATTCTAGGGAAAATTTAATTGAAGTAAGTTTAAAAATATTATATTTGTTTTGGTTTTTAAGTAAATATTAGATAGGTAATTAAAATACCTACCTATAACATTATTATTGTAAATTTGTGATATTTTTTTTTTTATATATATATTAATTGTTTGTGGCATCAACTACATGGTTATTAGCTGRCGTTAYATATTAAATTTACATTAATTTCTTACATACTTGCTTAATTTCTACTTATTACCTATATTTAAAGATTTACATATTTGTGATTGTGATATTATGTAAGTATATACAAGGGAAAACCTTTTAAAGTCTGATGTAGAAATTCAATAAACGTTGAATCATAAAATAAAAATACATACATAATACTACATAGTTATGAAATAAAATTCGTTCCTAATAAATATTGAGTTAATAGATTTATTATTTAATTTTTTTTTTTTT